TGTGGTGAAAAATGGGTCGGTACTGTATCCGTGGGTGAATAATCTGGTCAGTAGCAGGTTGGTCTGGGCAAGTAGTATGGCGTGAAGTTGGGCAGTGAAAAAATGAGAACGTCGGCGATATTTGATGCTCCTTTTTTGTATGAGACGGTATAGTGAAAAATTGGACTCCATATTATCCAACCACCGTATCTGACTCGGGTTGAGATTCGATTGGGCGCGAAGGTACTGTAGTGAGCGATGATCTGTCCGTACTGTCACGTCGGCTCCTGTCAGGTAACATCGCCACACTTTGAACGCATGCACGATCGCCAGCATCTCGCGGTCGTGTATCGGGTAGTTGCGTTCGGGCGGGTGAAGCTTGCGGGACTCGTACACGATTGGCTAAATGTTGTTCCCAAAATCCTGCAGCAATACTTCTCCTACAGCGATATCGCTTGCATCAATGACCTGTTCGAACGGGCGGTGTGGGTCGGAGATGTGAATCACAGACAGCGAGCACAAAATGTTTTTGAGGGCCGAGAAGGCAGCTGCTCTTTCTCCCCCCACCTGTACTCAACCCCCTTCCTCAGAAATTCAGTCAGCGTGGCAGTCACCTTCGCCATGTCATGGACGAACCAACGCACGTAGTTGACAGACCCTAAAAAACTCTGCAACTCGGTCAGATTTGTCGGCGCGTGCCAGGCCTGAATTTTCGCGATCTTCTTCGGGTCTATCTCCACTCCGTCAGCTGAAATAACGTTACCTAAAACCCCCTGTCTGTCCTGTAAAAACTGACACTTAGAGGCCTTGGTTAGTATGCGGTTCTCATAAGTTTTTTTTACTGCTTCAATGTCATGTAGATGCTGTGCTCTGTCGGGGCTGTAGACCAGTATGCCGTCCAGATAAGCTGTGATGCACTTATCTAAGAGCGGGCAAAAGTCTTAGTTCATGGTCAATTGAAAAGTGGCTGGGGCGTTGGTGAATCCGAAGGGCATGACTATGTATTCGAATGAGCTGTAGCGGGTGCGAAAAGCGGTTTTTGGGCAGTCGGGTGGGTTGACTCGGATCAGATGGTAACCTCTCCGAAGGACGAGTTCAAGAAGATGAGGGCTGTGCAAAGTTGGTCGATGAGTTTGTCCGCTCACGGGATGGGGTAGCGTAACTTGATAGTAACCCTGTTATGTGCGCGGTAATCTGTGCAAATGCGAAATCCCCCGTTTATCTTCGGTGTGAACAATAACGGCTCTGCGAAAGTAGGTAATCCAGCTGCTTCCGCAGTTCTTTCAGTTCGGGTTGGGTCAGTCTGAACTGTCGCTATACTGTTGGCTGTGCTCTCGGTTCTAACTCTATGCTGTGGTCGTGCGCCCGCTAAGGTGGCAGTCCCTCCGGTAGGTCGTCCGGAAATATCCCGTTGTACTGTTTCAATAGGGCTGTCATGCCATCTGGTACGTTGGCGAGCAGTTTATGTAACTCGCTCGGTTTGTCTGATGCCTCGGCTTCCCGGACGTCAACCGCGTACACATCAGCTCATGCCGCTACAGCGCGATTAATCGTGTTCACGTTTCAAGGTGAAGTTAACCCCGCACCGAATCCGTACCTAGTCTACGCGTTCCTGTATCACCAGTGGCGTGCCGTTGACCAGTCTGGCGTCTATCTCAGGAAAGCATCGGTCCAGTGTCTGTTTCAGTTTCCATGGAGTGGCGGTATTAATCAGGCTATGGCAGTATGGGACTGTTTACCGTTGATCCCTCCTTGCTCGGCCGAGTGTGGCCGACTTCATGAACCGGCACAATTACTCAGTGAGGGTCGGTTGGGTTGGGCGAGCGGCGTGACCTGTCAGTAGAGGGCTCGTCTGCTACTGTCTCCCAGCGTTTGCGTGCTGCTTGGTCTGTCCGCTGCTCTGCTCCTCCTATTTCCTTAGCTTCCGGACATTCGCTTTTGCGGTGCCCTGGCCGATTGCACATGAAGCAGCGCCCTTTGAACGGTGCGGCAGTGGCATTCATGGTGACGGCACATATCGTGGCGTGCTCGTTCGTTCCCCGAGGCCGGTGTCCCCAGGTGTTACCGCTATTGTAGGACCCCGTTCTCGGTCGGCGGAGAAAATCAAGATTCTCGGCCATGGAAGAATTTTGTTGAACTCCGTGACGCTCGGCTTGAGAGGCATGCACGGCTGGGTTCACCGACCGTCGGACCACCCCGTACGCTCGGGTCGAAGCATGGCGGACGCTACGGCTTGAGCGGCTTGAGCGGCCTGGATTCCGCTTAGATAGTTCTCAGCTTGGATAGTTCTCCTCTTCGGGGCCGGCGATACTCTCGCGACGAATCACGATGCAGAATCTGGAACGTATACGGAACAGGGCATCTACTCTGGGAGTATATTTGGGAGCGAAATGCGTTCAGTTCAGGTGTGACGAGGCGATGGGGAGTTGGCTTGCGCGACGGGCGCATCTGTCTCCCTCGCCAGATCCGTCGTTAGTTAGTGAGGGGAGCGATGATGATACTACTGTCGTCACCAGGGCCAAACACGACGGATTGCGACATGTAATCTGTCGAGATGTATTTCAGGAAAATTTAGGGCTCAGATCAGACGCGTGCTTCTCAACACCCCATGGCCACCATTCGCGCCATGGGGCAAGGCCAGCATGACTGCAAGCCCTGCATTGCGGTAGAGTGAACCCAATCGCCGCCGCACGTGCCGCCTGCGAGAAAAGAAAACTAGAAAGTATGAAATCACAGCCCCAGGTCGCTGGGCTGCCTGTGCGCGAGTGTCTTGCACCCTGGACCCGCATGTTGTACCAAGATCTCTCACATCATCACCTCGTGACTTGGTTCTCACTCCGAGTAATAGTCTCACGTATAAACCAGCGATGGTTCCTTCGAGTACGCATTATCGAAGTGCAACGCATTGCCGCTCACTGAGCTGCTTGTCTGATTTTCACTCCACACCTTCGGCTACCACTGTCGTCTGTCTCAGGATGGCTCGTGACAGGAAACCTATCACAGCAAGCCAGCACATCTCTTCCCTCCTCGTCGAATCGCTAGTCATTGGGATCATCTGCGGTCCCGCGCCTATCGTGGCGTCGGTACTGGACGTTGCAATCAACAAGGGGAACCAGGTAGGGATGATCCGATAGCAACATACGCATTTCCACATCGATAGTATAGTATTTTTACATCACGCCACTATCCACTGGATACTTTCACATTGTCAGTATAACGCTTTGTGAGAAATGTTATTCCGAAATAGAAAACGTCATCAGCAGCGTTCCGAAGCACGAAGCTCATCAGCGCGTTTTCGTCTGCTTCTGCGGACGTATTTGATTTCAACGTGGAAACACATTGAATTTGTTCGAAAAAAACAGCTCTTTTTTTACTCACATTTTTTTGTGCGACACTCGAGGGATTGCGACAGCTGGAAGTTGGACTTAGATGAAAGTTGAGACACCGACGGCTGAAATTTGACACTTGCAGTGCCGGATGAACGATTTCCGTCACGTGTGTGCGTGTCCAGATGGCGACACAGATGGGAGCAGACGCGAATACCACAGAGCTCGTTCTCACATCCAACGTAGTGCTGACGACGTAAGTTCCCCATCTATCCACGTCTGCATATGTTACGCCTCGCCACGTGTGCGCCTATCACCTCATCCCAGGAACGGCTAATCGATTCTGCATACATCCCGCCTCCGTCACGAAGATAAAGCCCGGGCCTCATATTTCTGTCAATCCCGAAACCCATCCCATCAGGCAGCTTATGCTACCATGCGCATTATCCCATCATTGAGTCAACTAATCAGATTGCTCTTTTCCTACTCCCCTTCCCACTCGCTCTTCCCCCTTACCCCTTCTTCTCTCCCCCCTACAGCCGCCTCCCAGAACTCTTAGGCGCGGCCAAGCTGACCATCAGGGGCGCGTGTGGATCCGACGGATAGGTAACAGGGTTACCAGGTTGGTGGTAGGGTTACCAGTTCGAAGTAGGGCCACATGGGAATGGTATGACCAAACTGGATAGGACCATCGTTGCACCCACCATCGCCATCGCCATCGCCATCGTTGCCGTCCATCTCCTTTCTCCTCCTCGTCGTCTCCGCCCATCTCTCCCATTTCCTCTTTAACCGCCTTCGTTCCTTCCTTTCTACTTGTATCATGGCGCGCCTCTTCCCTCCTCGGTCCCCAGCATGAACAAGTGCATCGTCGGGGGGGGTGGCGCCTTCCCCATATTCACCGGCGCCTTCCCCATATTCACCTCCCCCTCATCACGATCCACGGCGGGGCAGTTGACTCTGGTCAACCTCACCTTTCAGTACGCACTAGGAGGCGTCTTTTCCAAGTTGCGGACATCAGTCACCACGAGTTAATGCAATTTCGCCCACAACGTGGCTGCTGCTGACGCTGGTGGAGCGGTGCTCAGGTGAGGGCAGTGGAGAGCTGGGGGGGAGATGAGAGAGTGGGAGGGGTGCTGGAGCGAGTGAGTGTGCAAAGCAAGGTGCAGTTGAGAGTGTGTGTGCAACGTGCAGTTGGGAGAGGGGTGTGTGTGGTGCAAGTGAGAGAGTGTGTCGTGCAAGTGAGAGTGCGTGTGGTGCAAGCTCCTTCCCTGCGACAACCACAAAACAGTACTGTCTCCTCTCACGTTGCACCTTCAAGAGCATCATTGATTGCTGGGCTCCCCCTTCCCAAACACTCAATCCATTGCCTCCCTCCCTCCCTCCCTCCCTCCCTCCCTCCCCCCCCCCCCCCCCCTTTGTTTGTTAATGTTTCCCAACCCACCAGAGACACCCTCACTAGAATGTCCGAGCCTCCCGAGCGTGTCTTCACGGAGTGCATTTTCTTGAACAACTCCTCGCCCGCCCTAGGGGGGGGGGCGCCCTCAACATAGACGCCACCACCTTCAACGCCACCGGCCGCACTTGCGCTGCATCTTCAAGGACAACAGCGCGCCCAAACACCTGGGCGGGGCGGTCAGGGTGGCGGAGACGGCCAGGCTGCGCTTTGAGGATTGCCTCACATTCGTCAAGGTCAAAATGAACTATAACAAGGCTCTCGGCACCGCCACTGCCAACGGCGTCACCGCTGGCAAAGGTGGTGCGGCCTACGCCGCGGCGTCGGGACTCAACTCCGAGGCTGCAGTGCGATTCTGCTCGTCTGCAGGGCAATACCGCCAAGTTTACGGACGGCAGCACGTTGTACATGGAGGCGGGCTGGGGGTCGTCGTGGGCGGCGGTGCTGTCGATTTGCGACGGGAGCAAGCCGACTGGCACGGTGGTGCCCATGAGTGGATGGAAGCTGGTGACCGGTTGCACAGCCAGGTGAGGGAGAGGGGTGCGTGAGGGTGAGAAAGAGTGTGACGGAAGCATGCCGAATGGGTTCCGAGTCGACTCAAACACACCGGGACGTGATGAGGGTGAGAAAGTGGTGGCGTTGTGATGGGAGCGAGCCGAGTGGGTTTTGAGTCGTCGCCATGCACACCAGGAACAGGCAACGTGAGGCAGAGTGGTGGTGCTGTGAGTGGTGGCTGCGCTACCCACACTCTAACTGGTGCAGGCTGCGTGAGGATGAGGAAGAGTGGTGGTGCTGTGAGGAACACGTCTATCTGAAATACCTGTTTCCTGCAAGTGTACCCTCGTGTGGCACTCTGCTTGCTTCCCGCACACTCGCCCCCATGCCCCCACCCACATTCCCCTCAAACACACCGGGACGTGATGAGGGTGAGAAAGTGCTGGCGCTGTTCGTTGGCGGAACCGACGGCGGGTCCGTCGGCGGGTTTGCTGGCGGGTCCGTCGGCGTGCTTGCTGGCGGGTCCGTCGGCATTTTTTCTGGTGCGTTCCAGACGTGCGCGTTGGCGTGCGTTGCTGGTACTGCGCGGGCGACGGGCTGAAAAGGGGAAAGCGCTCACGAGGCGCACTAAGGGGTGCGCCATTGCGAGCGCTAATGGTGGGCCCATTTAAAAACGGTCCTAATCGGACCTAGCTCAATACCATGTCACGATGATGTCTTAACTTGTATCTGGGTTCAACTAGGGCCTCGGCTTAGTAGCCTAGGCCAAACGGGTGTCGAGGGTGGCGAGAACAAGGGTCGAGAGAATTGACCAAGGAAGTGAGCTTCACTAAAAGCAAAGAATACAAGATATAGTCGAGAAAACACAAACAGGAGGTGCACCACCAACAGCAAGGTAACATAACTACACTAAAGCTAAAACTACAGGCAGTTATAGACATATATAAACTATATATCGCGACATGGGGGTGCTCCTGTCTTTCCCCTGGAGGTCGTCGAGGACAGGAAGTTCGAGCTTGGTTTCCTTGTGGCCGATGTTCCTCATCTCTACGCCATGCTGCTTGCCCCTGAGGGGGATCCAGACGCCTTTGACATCCCGATCCCTCGCACTTACGCCGAGGCGATCTCGGGACCCTAGGCTTCGTTCTGGATAGCAGCAGAGGAGGTAGAGATGGCATCTTATAGGCGAACAGGAACCTACGTCGACGCCGTCCCACCACATGGGATGAACGTCGTCAGTGGCATGTGGCTGTACAAGGTGAAGCGGCTGCCTGGATCACCACCGGTGTTCAAGGCGCGCTATGTGGCGAGAGGCTACAGTCAGCGCGAGGCGATAGACTTCTTCCAGACCTTCTCTCCCACCCCGAAGATGACCACTCTTCGAGTGTTGCTGCATATAGCAGCTCAGCGCGACTACGAGCTGCACTCATTGGACTTCTCCACGGCGTTCCTACCAGGGCTGACGTTTCACTTTAGGGCTCCTTGATTCCGGTAAAAAATTATCCTCTGTATTATGAGTGCACATTGTTCAGGAGATTGCCACCCTGATGGCTCAGGGTTCAACAACTAGTCACTCTGATTTGTCAGGGTCGACAACCTGAATTCAGGGTTTGGGTTCAAATCTCACTTGGTTGATTCAAATCCCACAAGCTCCTGATCGTCGCCCAGGTCCTGTTCCACATCCTCCTCCTCCTCCTCCTCCTCCTCCTCCTCCTCCTCCTCCTCCTCCTCCTCCTCCTCTTTCTCCTCCTCCTCCTCCTCCTCCTCCTCCTCCTCCTCCTCTTTCTCCTCCTCCTCCTCCTCCCCCTCCTCCTCCTCCTCCTCCTCCTCCTCCTCCTCCTCCTCATCGCCATCGTTTTGGCCGGCAGCTCCTGCTTCGACTTCACCCTCGTTCGCTTTCCCCTTCCTTTCACGCTCAGCCACAGCAAGCTTCACGCTCTTTGCAGGGCGCCTCCTCCTCATAGACCTCCAGACCTCCAGGGCGTCCGGCCACTCGATGTCGTAACAGCTCTTGCTTCGACTTCACCCTCCTTCGCTTTCCCCTTCCTTTCACGCTCAGCCACAGCAAGCTTCACGCTCTTTACTGGGCGCCTCCTCCGCATAGACCTCCAGACCTCCAGGGCGTCCGGCCACTCGATGTCGTAATTCAGGAGCGAAATCTGCATCAGCTCCCCCAGCCGCGCGTTGCAGAGAGCGCCGCGCACCCAAGACCTGATCACATTTTGCCCGGAGAATCCTCTCTCGCACTCCACAGTTGACAGGGGGAGCACCGCGATCGCCTGCCACAGGAGGACGAGGTTGGGCCACCTCCTGCCAGGTACATTCACGGAGACGGGAGGGAAACAGAGTTACGACATGCACAAAATACATTCGACTCCCGCTTGGCATCCCATGCTGTCACACTACACTGACATACCTCTTCGAGTCTGCGCTCCCGAGAATGTTGGTCAGTCCCTGCGTGAAGCTTTCCAGCTCGTGGTGCGCCTCCATGATCGCACAGAATGTGGGAAGCTCCCTCTCTGCGGCCTTGAGGTCGAATCCCGGCAGCTTGTGGCGGAAGAGTTTGCTGCATCCCAGAAGCCACTCGCGGCACTTCTTCTCCCGTTGAGCCTTGATCTTCGGCCACTTTCCGGCTCGAAACAGCTTTGTCGGCCATTCTGCTGGTTGTTGACGACTATACGCGTTACACCATGATCTTCCCCTTGCGCAGCAAGGGTGAGGTCCCTAATGTCTTGATCCCTTGGATCCACGCAGTCCGTCTCCAGCTCCGCGAGCGGTTCCATAAGGACCTTCCTGTCCTGCGTCTGCACTCTGACAGAAGTGGTGAGTTCTCCTCTGACCTCTTACGGGACTTTTGTCGTGGGGAGGGAATCCTCCAGTCGTTCACGCTTCCGGCCTCCCCGCAGCAAAATCGGGTTGCTGGGCGCCGCATTGGCTTAGTCATGGAGGTTGCTCGTACCTCCATGATCCATGCGGCTGCTCCCCATTTTCTGTGGCCGTTTGCGGTCCGGTACGCCGCGCATCAGCTCAACCTCTGGTCCCATGTCTCCTTGCCGGAGACCTTGCCTACACTGCGCTGGACGGGAGAGGTTGGCGATGCGTTGGTGTTCTGGGTATGGGGCTGTCGTGCCTTTGTCCGCAATACCTCCGCAGACAAGCTCGCCTTTCGCGCTTTTCCCTACGTCTTCCTTGGCTTTCCCCCTGACACGCCTAGCTAGCAGTTTTACCACCCCACCTCGCGCCATGTCCTGCCCTCTCAGGACATCACGTTTGACGAGTCGATTCCCTTTTACCGTCTCTTCCCCTACCGCACTGCCCCTCTTCCCCCCCCCCGCCGCTCTTCCTCGCTCCCGGTCCCCCTCCAGTAGACCTCTTGCCCCCTCAGGGTCCTACTCCCTCAGGTGTGTCTCAAGTAGACCCACTCCCCTTGGCTGAGCCTGTCGAGGTAGCTGTCGACTCTGGTGCTGCTGGGGGAAATGTGGGGGTGCTGCGTGTGGAGGTGCTCAGCCTGAGCGTGCGAAGCCTGAGGTTGCTGAGTCTGAGGGTGCGGAGCCTTTGGGTGCTGAGCCTGAGCGTGTGGAGCCTGGGGGTGCTGAGCCTGAGCGTGCGGAGCCTGGGGATACTGAGCCTGGGGGTGCTGAGCCTGGAGGTGCTGAGCGTGAGGGTGCAGAGCCTGGGAGTACTGAGTCTGGAGGTTCTGAGCCTGGAGGTACTATGTCTGCTGGAGGTCCTGCGGGTGCCTCGTCACGCCGGGAGCCTCTCTCTCTACTTAAGCTGCGTGAGTGGTTTGCTCGTCGCACCCGTCTTCGGAGTGGCGCTGCTGGAGCTGGGGGGCCTGCCGCTGGAGGCACTGGAGCTGGAGGTGCTGGAGCTGCTGGTCCTGGAGGTGCTGGCGGTCCTGCTAGAGCTAGAGGTACTGAAGGTACTAGAGCTGCTGGTCCTGGAGGTGCTCGTGCTGGAGGTGCTGGAGCTGCCGGAGCTGGTGGTGCTGCTGGTGCTCGAGGTGCTGGAGGTGCTTACGGTCCCGCAGGAGCTTGAGGTACCAGAGGTGCTGGAGCTGCTGGTCCTGGAGGTGCTCGTGCTGGAGGTACTGGAGCTGCCGGAGCTGGTGGTGCTGCTGGTACTAGAGGTGCTGGAGGTGCTAGACCCGGAGGTGCTCGTACTGGAGGTACTGGAGCTGCTGGAGCTGGTGGTGCTGCTGGTACTCGAGGTGCTGGAGGTGCTGGAGGTCTTGCTGGAGCTGGAGGTACCGGAGGAGCTAGAGGTGCTGGCGCCGGGGGTGCTGGAGCTGTCGGTACTGGTGCTGGAGGCGCTGTGCGACCGCGACCGTACTTTGTCCCACTGCGTCGCCAGGTTCTTAGTCTCCCGTCTTTTACTGACCTTACTCCACCTCAAATATGTCCACCACCTGACAAATCGCAGCCACAGTTACAGCCCGCCTCCCCACTGTCTGCTCCTTCTCCTTACACTGAACAGACAGACTAACTTACAGAGCGTCGTGAGCCTGCGTCTCGCCCTGCCTCGCCTGTTCGCGCTGGTCGCACTGGTCGTCGTGTTCCGCGTCCGTGTCCTCCTCCTGTCCCCGGCACTCACACTATGGCATTTCGTCCTTCCTCTGTTCCACTACGAGTTCCCCTGCCGTCTCCTCCTGCGTCCTCTCTTCCTCATGGTCCAGACCTTGAGTCTGACTTAGTTCGTGCTGCTAGTCCTACTGTCACACGTTTTCTGGCCACTATTATCACCGACCCCTCGTTTGAGTCCACTGCTGTGTCTGCCTTAGTTGCTGAGCTTGTCGACTTTGCTGCTAGCTGTCGTCTCGACTATGCCGCTAGTCTTGTTGCTGAATCTAAATCTGCATGTCCTCCATCCATCGGGGGTGAGTGTGCTCTTGGCACGGACGTCCTTGAGGATAGGCAGGAGGACTTTGAGTGTCTTGCAACTGCTGTACCTCATCTCGTGTCCATGCTGCTTGCATCTGAGGGAGACACTGATGCACCAAACATCCCGACCCCGCGCTCTTACGCAGGGGCGACTACAGGTCCCTACTCCTCTCAGTGGTAGACAGCCATGGACGCAGAGATGGCATCCTGGAAGTCCACAGGCACTTACGTCGACGCAGTTCCCCCTCCTGGGGCGAACATAGTCGATGGCATGTGGATTTTCAGGGTGAAGCGGCCGCCGGGTTCTCTGCCTGCCTTCAAGGCTCGTTACGTCGCACGAGGCTTTAGTCGGCGACAGGGAGTTGACTTCTTCCAGACCTTCTCCCCTACCCCGAAGATGACCACTCTTCGGGTGCTGCTGCACGTCGCAGCTCAGCGTGACTACGAGCTTCACTCTCTTGACTTCAGCACAGCTTTCTTATAGGGCACTCTGCACAAGGAGATCTGGCTGAGCCGCCCACCTGGTTTCACTGGGTCTTTTCTTGCAAGTACCCACTGGAGCCTCCGGCGGCCAGTCTACGGTCTCCGCCAGGCACCTCGTGAGTGGCACGACACACTGAGGACGACACATGCGGCTCTTGGGTTTGCTCCTTCCACTGATCACCCGTCGCTGTTTCTGCGCACCGACACTTTGCTGCCCCGTTCTACATCCTTGTGTACGTCGACGACTTGGTTTTTGCCATTGCTGACACTGAGGCAATGGCCCTTGTGAAGTTGGAGCTGCAGAACAGACACACGTGCACAGACCTGGGTGAGCTGCGCAGCTATCTTGGCTTGCAGATCATCCGGGACAGAGCACGGCGCACCATCACCTTGACTCAGTTACACATGGTGCACCAAGTACTTCAGTGCTTCCGCTTCCAGTACTCCTCGCCATAGTCCACTCCTCTGCCTATCGGTCATTCGCTCTCACCTCCACCTTCTGACGAGTCCGTAGAGCCGAGTGGCCGTATCCAGAGCTTGTGGGCTGCCTAATGTACCTGATGACCTGCAGTCGACCTGACCTTGCCTACCCTCTTAGCATCCTGGCACGCTACGTTGCGGCCGAGAGACACCATTCAGAGCACTAGGAGGCCGCTAAGAGGGTGTTGCGCTACTTGTGCAGTACGTCGGGCATGGGGCTCGTGCTTGGAAGACAGGGTCGAGTTGTTCTTACTAGCCACGCAGACGCGTCTTGGGTCGTCACAGGGTTACACCTTCAGCCTTGGCTCCGTTTCTGTTTCTTGGCGGTCTACCCACTCGTCTTCTATTCTCAGTTCCAGTTGTGAGGTTGAGATCTACGCAGGGGCCATGGCTGCACACGAGTTACGCTAGCTCACCTACCTGCTGACCGACTTGGGAGAGCGGCCTAGTTCTCCTCCACTTCTGTACGTAGACAACAAGGCCATGATTGCCTTGTGTCAGGACCACAGACTGGAGCACAGGATGAAGCACATCACTCTGCGTTACTTCCTTGCTCGAGAATTGCAGCAGCGTGGTCAGCTTCGTCTTGCTTACGTAGCCACTCGGGCCAACACTGCTGATATATTCACCAAGGCACTTCAGCCTTGTGATCATCAGTGTTTCTGTACTGTTTTAGGCCTTGTGCCTACTCTGCCTCACTTGCTCACTTCGTAACTTTGATTGTATTGTGATCTATATACTTATACCTGCATGCTTACGCTTGCTAGGTTGTGATCACTGTACTGCTTGTTCCCACATATATAACTCTGCATGTGAACTGGCCTTGTGGCAATTTGCTTGTGCTCAGAGTGTGTGGTGACTTCGTGATCCACCCTGAGCTTGCTTTGCTTTTCTTGACTGGTCTTATGACCCCTTGTTCTCCCCCACTTTTCCTATGGGGGTGTGTCAAACTGTTATATTGTTATGTAGGCTGTAGTGGGGTAGCCTATATGGGGTACAACCCAAATTAGGGTTAGTACTTGTATCACTTTCTTAATCAATGCAATCATTCCTGCTCGTTGGTGTCAAGATTAAGCAGTAGAAACGAGAAATGAAGAAAGGAGGGGTTTCACTAGCAAGCAGTTGGATACATATAGCAAACCCTAAGGGGTCATACTCACTACAGAGTACCCCACTGCAGGCTAGACAATAATAACATTCTGACACACCCCCATAGCCAAAGTGGGGTGTAATCAGCACAATGAGCAAGTATAGCAGTAGTTCACAATTATAAGCAAAGCTAGTGGTAGTCACAGCGGGCAAGTGAGGAGGAGGAGGGACTGTGAGAGGAGAGAAGATGGGAGACGACGGCTGAAGCTGCAGACACACGGGCAACAGGAGCTGCTGGCACAGTGGCTACCGGGACAGCGCCCCGGACTACTGGAGTAACTGGCTCACGGGCTACGAGGAGCTACAGGAGCAACGGACCCACGGGCGACAGGCGCAGCAGGCTCTCTGGGCTACCAGGACAGCGCCCCGGACTACAGGTGCTGCGGACGACATGACGGCTACCTCCACTCAACCTCCTCCAACTGACCCACACCCTTGACACACACCCCTTGCTGAACCCCTAGCTCCACTCCCCCGTCACCCCCCTAGCACCACTCCTTCGGCTCCCCACACACACACCCCCCTGAGCGGCAGCTGCAGCAGCGGGAGACGGAGGAGGAGGAGGAGTAGGGGACGGCGCACACAACCGGCACCCCCACAACCGCCACCCCCACACTCCCCACCCCCAAACCCTAAAACGGGTGGCACGGG